TCTTTAAGACGCTCACCAGCAGCTTTCGTCAGAGAAACTCTCTCAGAACCAGCTAAGTCCATTAAGTTAAGGTAGCTTATATGTACAGGTCCATCTTTCTGATTGGCATCTTTCGACTCCAGAATAATCCGGAAAATCGTGTGTGATCGAGATGACCTCTCATTCATGCGAGTAGCTGCAACTCGTCTGATCTTATTGCCCTGCATCATGTTCTCCATAACTTTATCAACATTGTCTACGACAGCTTCCCTTGCATCAAGCAGCACATTTCCTTTGATATCTTCTCATAGTTAAACCCTGATTGCTCTTATCCAGGAGGTCATTGATCTTTTCATTGTAGATTTCAATATAACTGCATCTAATCAAGTACCTCTTATCAACCTGGTCTGCCACATGCTGGAATAACTGATTGGATACTAATTGGAAAAGCCCAGGATCTGTTTTATTGCCCAAAATGGTGTGTGTTTTGCCAGAAGATGTTTGGCCATATGCAAATATTGTGGCATTGAAACCTTCCATGAAGGAATCGACTAAAGGTTTTACTACAGATCCATATACATCTGAATTTGTACATTCCTGATTAAATACATGGTCGAATATATAAACCTCTCCATGGCGACTACTTTCATCGGCTTCCCATATGCAGTTTACTCTTACGTTCCAAAGACGCTCTAGACCATCGGCTACTTCGCGGTGGATCATTGGTCTGATCTTTGTGGCTACTTTAATATTGTTGGAAGTCATTTTGGAAGCTTGAACTGAAATTTAATTAGAACTAGGGCTATTTCACGGGTTATAAAGAGGGGCAGATGTATCAGGTTGATACATTCTTTTTTTCCTCCTTTCCAGTATAGAAGATTTTTTTCTCTTGTAGGCTATGAATGCGGTCCGATAGTTTAGTAGAGCTACATTTACAGGGTGACTCAAAATCAAAGAAGAAACAGAATTGTTAAATTTCATATAGACTGTTATTGTTATTACAAAAAGAAGTTGAAGCAGCAGCAAATTCTCACAAATCTATAGATCCATCACTTTCAGCACCCGATTTTTCAACTTGAAAAATGCAGCTCGGTGAAGAATCACAAGGTAACTGTTGTCTATTCAGACAATACTCTTCTAAAAGCAACGCGAAGTTACCTAGTGCCTTACATGAATCGCCTTCATAATTCTTCATTATTGTCAATGGAAAACTGAAATTGTTGATTATTACAGTTTTTAATGCTTCAAATAAACAGATGGTGTTCGTGTTGGAAATCCCACGTCTAATCTCGCAAAACAGGTTATCCACCGGATCTTACTATCAACATCTGAAATGCCATTACTGTTTTTAGCCATGTGTACAACAGGTTTGTACGCATAAGACACTCTTACATGAAAACTGTTTATTGTCTAAAAACGAAAATACCCCATTGAAGATGAGTAATGCAATAAATAAATCCTCGAAACTTGAACTGTAATATGAACATAAAAAAACTAACAAAATGGGCCATTTAACAACATATTTGGTGTTGATATTCTACAACAAAAACAAATACTTTCTCGTATAAGGAAACATACAATAATTAACATTTATCACACTTTTCACGAAACAATGTAAGTGCGCTGTGACTTTACATACTTATTACAGATTGTAGAACATTTTTTTCATTGTGTATTGTCATGTAACACCTACGTCGTTTTTTTTCTTTAACAACTGCATCAGGATCGAGAACTCTGGGCTGAGAAGTAGACGGCTTACTTTATTCGTCGTTGGTAATTTAGGATTCTTTGCATGGCTGAACGAAGCTCCCTAGGAAGTCTTGGATCTGATAAACGTCCTCTCATACGAAGTTAAATTAGAGTTTGCCTCAGGGGAACAATAAAATTTCGTCGCCTAATGGAACTTTCAGTCCCAGACTGAAAAAAAAAGGAATTTACAGAAGCTGGTTGGATACCAAATAGCACAAGGCCATCTTCTCGTTCTCTAACCAGTATTGTAATTTACACACTTCCGATCTAATGCATTACCCCCCGCCTTCATAGTGTTATAAAAATAATATAGGATCTTATCAGGTTTCTTTGATTCCTCTACTATTTTGTTATCATGCTGCATAGATTGCTATACGAGAACATGTGTATTTGGTTTTGGAAGATACTACTCTAAGGCTGTACAACATAAACTTAGAAGTACCTGGCTGTGTTTCCTTCTTATTTGGAACTACATGTTGGGGTACTTGTTACTTATTTTTACGCTTCCTGCCGACATAGGTCAGTTGGTTGATGCGCAATTCTACATGTAATTCTACTGACGTGAACCAGTCATCTGCTGTGATATTTCTGTTCGTATAGACGAAAGCATTGAGCAGGTAGTGGTGAGTCTTTGCATCATCAGTCCATACTTATTCGGTTTAGTTTTCTTGTAGGCACAGGAAGGACATCGGCCCACGAGCATCTCGTATTTTGTAGGGGACTCACCCGAAATATAACAATTTCGACAGTTCTCTATGAGTGTCTCGAAAATTTCACGTATTTGGAGAAATTTATCGGCATTTCTCGAGTCACAGGGTTATTATTTTCCAAATTGGTTGCCACGGACTTTAGTTCAGGTAAATGCGTAATAATCGACCAGTTGCAGGCGCTCGTTTTGACCAATTGTACATGTTTTTTCCATAGGCATAGCGAGGTCGCCCATAGGAAGTTGTTCAGGTTGATCGATAGCAGCGTCGTCCTCGGCGTAGTCTATAGTGTATTGTTCATCCGTCAACAACGAAAAAATCCATTGTGAAGGAAGTTCAAATCGTACACGCAACTGACATCCTCGGATCAAATTTGACCGCAAAGTCAACAAACCAACAATTGTGATGTTTAAATTAAACTGTGGTTTGAGGTATACGTGCTCATACCGTATGAGAAGTCACGGGACCCCCACCACATAACTGAGAAAGCTCGAATCATCCGACGATATCATTAAAGGATTAATTTCTATATTCTTGAACGAATCTATAAAATCAAAGTGGCTGGGTTTCAATTTACATAGCTCTTTGTATGGTCTTGTTTGCTGATCAACATTATATGATTTCTAGACATGTTCAATCTGTGCAGCTTCTTCACTTTCATATTAATGTCAATAAGAGCATTTCATCCATTTTTGAATAAATGTGGTTCATCACAAATTGTAGAAATACTCTGAGCATTGACTATAAAATGGAATGGACTTGATCCGTGAGTATTCTCCGAGCAAATCGTCTCAAGTGCGTTTTTGATCGTTGCGCCCTGATTAGAAATAGTGCCAACAACGCACAAACCAAGTCGCTGCTAGTTTGTGATCACATGAACAATAATCGTTTTCAGATCTGGGATTCTTGTATCTTTTACTAGATAATAAGCCACAACCTGCTTATAATTTTTACGAATCCCTCTTATCATGGAAGTAAGGGCATGATTTCTGATAAATCACTTTTTCAGAGTTCTAGTTGATTTTGTTACCTCAGAATTCAAGATTTATTAGCTGAAAATTGTACACTGTGAGCACTGGGATCAGCCCTAAACTTTGTCCAAACCCTGCAATAATCGTAAACACTAACAAGGGTAGACATATTTCTAGTTTAACTGCCTGAAGATTTTCTCTATGGTTTATACGTAACTCTCCACCTATTATCTCATTTTTGTACATGTTCTGGGAGAACTCAACTTGCTCCCTATAAAATGCAACGTCTTCCTGCACAGGTGGTTCTGGTTAAGTGCCAGCCTGCTTCGGGTTTGTAATTAGTTGTTGCAATTTTCTGATTTCGTCGTCCTTTTTCATAATCCAGATTTCGTTTTGGCATTCCAGTTCAGCCATTTGATCCTGAAGCTCTTTTATAGTAGAATCATTATGGCATCGTATATCTGAGATTTTAAATGAGTGGTTGACCTCACGTTGGTTACTCTCGTCCATCAGACTCTTTACGTCATTTCTCAGTTTAGATTCAAGTTCTTTTAGGAAGCCAATTTCATCTTGCAGTTCAGCAATGTGTGACATCGTTACATCAGTTTGTGCAGCAGCACTTAAAGAATGTTGCATATCTTCGTACTCAGCGTCAAGCATAGCTTCTAAGTCTGCAACCTTCTTTTTTGACTCAATATTTTGAGCTTCAAGAGATGGTTTAGGGCTCTCTGATCTTCCTAGGTTCTTCAGTTGAGTACGCAGCATCTCTATTTCTGACTCGTATGTTTTTAGTCTTTTTATATTTTTTTCCAGAAAATCGAGTCTGTATTGCAAGTCGATGAAATTCTTGCGCTTTTTGAGAATTTTTTTGAACTCTTTCTATTTCTTCGTTGTACGCATCCGTTACTTGGCGGAGTTCCTGACTGTAACGATCGAATTTAGAATTGGCTTCTGTGAGCTGTTTCTTCAGGTCCAAAATCTCCAGCTGATTATCTAGTTTAGTGAATTCTCTAAGCTCATTGAAAGATTCTTCCAGTTCTTTGAGTTGTCTTTTAAGTACACTTGCACGTCTTCAGCTATCACAGATTCTGCTTCGGCTAGTGCCTCCTCATATGTCTCTTCTTGAATAGGCCTCATTTCACGTCCGGATGATTCTTCTTTGGGTGGATAATTTTTCAATGGCATATACCCTAGGGATGCTTTTTTAGGTGATACGTTGCCATAGTGTCCAAAAGTATGACGTCTTAATGTTTTTTTCGGTGTTGATGCCGAGGCTCCCATTTGAAAGCGCCCGACAATAGATACTTCCGTTTTTAGTCTTTCTATCTCGAGCAGATACTCTTGTTTGCTTTTATCCATCTCTTTTAGCTTAATTGCCTGCTTTTTGAGCCGAGTTTCGAGATCGCGAGTCAAGTTCTGATATCCTTGAAGTGTCTCTTCTGTAGCTGACAAGATGTTTACTTTCGTTTTATTTTTGACAGTTTTAGTGCTTTGGGCGAATTCTGGTGTAGATCTAGTCTCCTCCTCTGCAGCTAAAGTAACATTCCCGATAATCAATGATTTGGCATTACCGCCAAGAGCCTGTGAGAGCAGTCTAGTCAATTTCGAATCGCGATAACTGATAAACTCCTTCCCCTCGCTTAGTTGCCTTATCACATTTCCTAATACTGACAAAGATTTGTTTATGTTAGCCCCCTCTTTAAGACGCTCACCAGCAGCTTTCGTCAGAGAAACTCTCTCAGAACCAGCTAAGTCCATTAAGTTAAGGTAGCTTATATGTACAGGTCCATCTTTCTGATTGGCATCTTTCGACTCCAGAATAATCCGGAAAATCGTGTGTGATCGAGATGACCTCTCATTCATGCGAGTAGCTGCAACTCGTCTGATCTTATTGCCCTGCATCATGTTCTCCATAACTTTATCAACATTGTCTACGACAGCTTCCCTTGCATCAAGCAGCACATTTCCTTTGATATCTTCTCTTATAGTTAAACCCTGATTGCTCTTATCCAGGAGGTCATTGATCTTTTCATTGTAGATTTCAATATAACTGCATCTAATCAAGTACCTCTTATCAACCTGGTCTGCCACATGCTGGAATAACTGATTGGATACTAATTGGAAAAGCCCAGGATCTGTTTTATTGCCCAAAATGGTGTGTGTTTTGCCAGAAGATGTTTGGCCATATGCAAATATTGTGGCATTGAAACCTTCCATGAAGGAATCGACTAAAGGTTTTACTACAGATCCATATACATCTGAATTTGTACATTCCTGCTTAAATACATGGTCGAATATATAAACCTCTCCATGGCGACTACTTTCATCGGCTTCCCATATGCAGTTTACTCTTACGTTCCAAAGACGCTCTAGACCATCGGCTACTTCGCGGTGGATCATTGGTCTGATCTTTGTGGCTACTTTAATATTGTCGGAAGTCATTTTGGAAGCTTGAACTGAAATTTAATTAGAACTAGGGCTATTTCACGGGTTATAAAGAGGGGCACTTTTCATAATCCAGATTTCGTTTTGGCATTCCAGTTCAGCCATTTGATCCTGAAGCTCTTTTATAGTAGAATCATTATGGCATCGTATATCTGAGATTTTAAATGAGTGGTTGACCTCACGTTGGTTACTCTCGTCCATCAGACTCTTTACGTCATTTCTCAGTTTAGATTCAAGTTCTTTTAGGAAGCCAATTTCATCTTGCAGTTCAGCAATGTGTGACATCGTTACATCAGTTTGTGTAGCAGCACTTAAAGAATCTTGCATATCTTCGTACTCAGCGTCAAGCATAGCTTCTAAGTCTGCAACCTTCTTTTTTGACTCAATATTTTGAGCTTCAAGAGATGGTTTAGGGCTCTCTGATCTTCCTAGGTTCTTCAGTTGAGTACGCAGCATCTCTATTTCTGACTCGTATGTTTTTAGTCTTTTTATTTTTTTTCCAGAAAATCGAGTCTGTATTGCAAGTCGATGAAATTCTTGCGCTTTTTGAGAATTTTTTTGAACTCTTTCTATTTCTTCGTTGTACGCATCCGTTACTTGGCGGAGTTCCTGACTGTAACGATCGATTTTAGAATTGGCTTCTGTGAGCTGTTTCTTCAGGTCCAAAATCTCCAGCTGATTATCTAGTTTAGTGAATTCTCTAAGCTCATTGAAAGATTCTTCCAGTTCTTTGCGTTGTCTTTTAAGTACACTTGCACGTCTTCAGCTATCACAGATTCTGCTTCGGCTAGTGCCTCCTCATATGTCTCTTCTTGAATAGGCCTCATTTCACGTCCGGATGATTCTTCTTTGGGTGGATAATTTTTCAATGGCATATACCCTAGGGATGCTTTTTTAGGTGATACGTTGCCATAGTGTCCAAAAGTATGACGTCTTAATGTTTTTTTCGGTGTTGATGCCGAGGCTCCCATTTGAAAGCGCCCGACAATAGATACTTCCGTTTTTAGTCTTTCTATCTCGAGCAGATACTCTTGTTTGCTTTTATCCATCTCTTTTAGCTTAATTGCCTGCTTTTTGAGCCGAGTTTCGAGATCGCGAGTCAAGTTCTGATATCCTTGAAGTGTCTCTTCTGTAGCTGACAAGATGTTTACTTTCGTTTTATTTTGACAGTTTTAGTGCTTTGGGCGAATTCTGGTGTAGATCTAGTCTCCTCCTCTGCAGCTAAAGTAACATTCCCGATAATCAATGATTTGGCATTACCGCCAAGAGCCTGTGAGAGCAGTCTAGTCAATTTCGAATCGCGATAACTGATAAACTCCTTCCCCTCGCTTAGTTGCCTTATCACATTTCCTAATACTGACAAAGATTTGTTTATGTTAGCCCCCTCTTTAAGACGCTCACCAGCAGCTTTCGTCAGAGAAACTCTCTCAGAACCAGCTAAGTCCATTAAGTTAAGGTAGCTTATATGTACAGGTCCATCTTTCTGATTGGCATCTTTCGACTCCAGAATAATCCGGAAAATCGTGTGTGATCGAGATGACCTCTCATTCATGCGAGTAGCTGCAACTCGTCTGATCTTATTGCCCTGCATCATGTTCTCCATAACTTTATCAACATTGTCTACGACAGCTTCCCTTGCATCAAGCAGCACATTTCCTTTGATATCTTCTCTTATAGTTAAACCCTGATTGCTCTTATCCAGGAGGTCATTGATCTTTTCATTGTAGATTTCAATATAACTGCATCTAATCAAGTACCTCTTATCAACCTGGTCTGCCACATGCTGGAATAACTGATTGGATACTAATTGGAAAAGCCCAGGATCTGTTTTATTGCCCAAAATGGTGTGTGTTTTGCCAGAAGATGTTTGGCCATATGCAAATATTGTGGCATTGAAACCTTCCATGAAGGAATCGACTAAAGGTTTTACTACAGATCCATATACATCTGAATTTGTACATTCCTGCTTAAATACATGGTCGAATATATAAACCTCTCCATGGCGACTACTTTCATCGGCTTCCCATATGCAGTTTACTCTTATTTCCAAAGACGCTCTAGACCATCGGCTACTTCGCGGTGGATCATTGGTCTGATCTTTGTGGCTACTTTAATATTGTCGGAAGTCATTTTGGAAGCTTGAACTGAAATTTAATTAGAACTAGGGCTATTTCACGGGTTATAACGAGAGGCACTTTTCATAATCCAGATTTCGTTTTGGCATTCCAGTTCAGCCATTTGATCCTGAAGCTCTTTTATAGTAGAATCATTATGGCATCGTATATCTGAGATTTTAAATGAGTGGTTGACCTCACGTTGGTTACTCTCGTCCATCAGACTCTTTACGTCTCAGTTTTAGATTCAAGTTCTTTTAGGAAGCCAATTTCATCTTGCAGTTCAGCAATGTGTGACATCGTTACATCAGTTTGTGCAGCAGCACTTAAAGAATGTTGCATATCTTCGTACTCAGCGTCAAGCATAGCTTCTAAGTCTGCAACCTTCTTTTTTGACTCAATATTTTGAGCTTCAAGAGATGGTTTAGGGCTCTCTGATCTTCCTAGGTTCTTCAGTTGAGTACGCAGCATCTCTATTTCTGACTCGTATGTTTTTAGTCTTTTTATTTTTTTCCAGAAAATCGAGTCTGTATTGCAAGTCGATGAAATTCTTGCGCTTTTTGAGAATTTTTTTGAACTCTTTCTATTTCTTCGTTGTACGCATCCGTTACTTGGCGGAGTTCCTGACTGTAACGATCGAATTTAGAATTGGCTTCTGTGAGCTGTTTCTTCAGGTCCAAAATCTCCAGCTGATTATCTAGTTTAGTGAATTCTCTAAGCTCATTGAAAGATTCTTCCAGTTCTTTGAGTTGTCTTTTAAGTACACTTGCACGTCTTCAGCTATCACAGATTCTGCTTCGGCTAGTGCCTCCTCATATGTCTCTTCTTGAATAGGCCTCATTTCACGTCCGGATGATTCTTCTTTGGGTGGATAATTTTTCAATGGCATATACCCTAGGGATGCTTTTTTAGGTGATACGTTGCCATAGTGTCCAAAAGTATGACGTCTTAATGTTTTTTTCGGTGTTGATGCCGAGGCTCCCATTTGAAAGCGCCCGACAATAGATACTTCCGTTTTTAGTCTTTCTATCTCGAGCAGATACTCTTGTTTGCTTTTATCCATCTCTTTTAGCTTAATTGCCTGCTTTTTGAGCCGAGTTTCGAGATCGCGAGTCAAGTTCTGATATCCTTGAAGTGTCTCTTCTGTAGCTGACAAGATGTTTACTTTCGTTTTATTTTTGACAGTTTTAGTGCTTTGGGCGAATTCTGGTGTAGATCTAGTCTCCTCCTCTGCAGCTAAAGTAACATTCCCGATAATCAATGATTTGGCATTACCGCCAAGAGCCTGTGAGAGCAGTCTAGTCAATTTCGAATCGCGATAACTGATAAACTCCTTCCCCTCGCTTAGTTGCCTTATCACATTTCCTAATACTGACAAAGATTTGTTTATGTTAGCCCCCTCTTTAAGACGCTCACCAGCAGCTTTCGTCAGAGAAACTCTCTCAGAACCAGCTAAGTCCATTAAGTTAAGGTAGCTTATATGTACAGGTCCATCTTTCTGATTGGCATCTTTCGACTCCAGAATAATCCGGAAAATCGTGTGTGATCGAGATGACCTCTCATTCATGCGAGTAGCTGCAACTCGTCTGATCTTATTGCCCTGCATCATGTTCTCCATAACTTTATCAACATTGTCTACGACAGCTTCCCTTGCATCAAGCAGCACATTTCCTTTGATATCTTCTCTTATAGTTAAACCCTGATTGCTCTTATCCAGGAGGTCATTGATCTTTTCATTGTAGATTTCAATATAACTGCATCTAATCAAGTACCTCTTATCAACCTGGTCTGCCACATGCTGGAATAACTGATTGGATACTAATTGGAAAAGCCCAGGATCTGTTTTATTGCCCAAAATGGTGTGTGTTTTGCCAGAAGATGTTTGGCCATATGCAAATATTGTGGCATTGAAACCTTCCATGAAGGAATCGACTAAAGGTTTTACTACAGATCCATATACATCTGAATTTGTACATTCCTGCTTAAATACATGGTCGAATATATAAACCTCTCCATGGCGACTACTTTCATCGGCTTCCCATATGCAGTTTACTCTTACGTTCCAAAGACGCTCTAGACCATCGGCTACTTCGCGGTGGATCATTGGTCTGATCTTTGTGGCTACTTTAATATTGTCGGAAGTCATTTTGGAAGCTTGAACTGAAATTTAATTAGAACTAGGGCTATTTCACGGGTTATAAAGAGGGGCACTTTTCATAATCCAGATTTCGTTTTGGCATTCCAGTTCAGCCATTTGATCCTGAAGCTCTTTTATAGTAGAATCATTATGGCATCGTATATCTGAGATTTTAAATGAGTGGTTGACCTCACGTTGGTTACTCTCGTCCATCAGAC